GCCACAATACGATACATATCTGGATATAGTCAGCTTTCGATTCAATAAAAATAAAGGCTAAATCATGTCCGGGATACTAAAAGTCTTTGTTAAACCACTTTTTGTGCAAAGTTCGTATGAAACACAAATATTTTATTCGTCAAAACAGTGAAAATGTCGAATGTGTCGCATAAAAAAAGTTTCCTTCCTCTAAACAAGCACCAAAATTGTAGCACTGTAACAAAATTATTTAGTAAAATATACCAAAAAAATACTCTTGGTGATATATCGATTGATACAGCAGCCCATGATATCGATACCGTATCATCATATTAAGCGATACGATATATCGATATTTTAATATTTTTGCACACCCCTAGACTGAATATATTAAAAGTTCTTTATTACATGAAGGGACGCCAACGTGTTTCGACCAGCGAGATGGTCTTCGTCAGGCCAAAGTAGTTGGCCAACCTTATCTTGTTTTTGGGGTTTGTTCGCTGTCTTTTTCCTGCTGTCATGTGATTAATTGATTGTATTTATTGACACCCAGTGTGTCTTGTTTTTACTACTTTGCCCTGATGAAGACCATCTTGCTCGTCCCTTCATGTAATAAAGGACTTTTAATATATTCAGTGGGAGTGCCTCGGGTTTGTAACTTACCCACTTTTACATTTTCCTGTAAGGGTAATTTTCTGTTCTAAGAAGTTGTGGAGTTGTGTTTTGTTTTGTTACACACTTTATTATTCATCTGTCTACATCTCCAAAACTCAAAATGCTCTGCTCCACCTTGTGATGTCACGAAATATTGGTAAATGGTCATATTTTTATACAGCGCTTTTCCATGTTCAAGGCGCTCAAAGCTCTTTACAACAAGGAACCACACACACACATTCACACACACATTCTTACACCAGTGAAGGCACAAACTGGAGGCGAGGTCGGTTAAGTGTCTTGCCCAAGAACACAACGACAGCATTCATTTGAAGTCAAACCAGCCAACCTGCAGGTCAGTGGATCTGACCGCTCAACCAATCATGTTTATATTGAGGGCTTCAAGGGATTCAAACTGCCAACCTTCAGATCAGTGGACAAACGCTCAACCAGCTGAGCAACTGTCGCCCCAAAGTTTCAAGTTTCAAGTCAACGGCTACATTTTACCTTTACTCAGAGGCGGCGCTACAATTAGGCAAAAGCAGGCGGCTTCTTAGGGCCCCCAAACCTGGAGGGGCCCCCAACCAATTACCCTCAGTGCCACTAATGGTCGAGGCCTCAGAGCAATTTGATTTTCTCTCAATATGACATTAAATGAGAGTAGTTTAGTTTTAAACCATAATCATGAGAAAAAATAATCATAATCATATATGTAATTGTACTAGCAAAAAAAAAAAAAAACTACTTTCAGTTCTGGTTATCTAGTAGGACACCAAACTAAGACAAATTTCCAATCCACCATAATTTAAATAAAGAGAGAAAAATGGGGAAAAACAGACAATAAATATATTAAAAGCAACAAAAACAACAAAACAAACAAACAAAAAACGGTGCATTATAGTGAGGGACCCAAACTCAAGTCCACTGCCTTTAATTCAGTCGAGATTGACTCTTCTAGGGCAGAAATCATCCAAATAATTCTAGTGAAGGTGTCTGGAGTTTAAAAACAAAGTGGAGCACTCCCTGAATTACCACATGACATCACAAGGTGGAACAAAGTATTTAAGGACTTAACCAAAATCAGCAGGGTTTGTGTGTTAAACATGTGTGAATGAAACAAAACACAACTCCAGGTCTGTTTGTGATGAGGAAACAACATTAAAACAGATCAGAACATAGTGTAATGTTGATGTCTTTAATGCTATATACTGTGGAACATTCCGGGCAAAGTTCCATAGTGCATAACACTGTACACAATCAATGATCTTGTGAGATATGTGTTTACATTTGGACTGGATAAAATGGGCTGTAGTTTCAAGGAGCCGTGCTATAATGGGAAAAAAAAAAAATAACGAAGATAAAATAAACAAAGATTGGTCAAATTGTGAACTGGATTGCTCAATAAATTATGCATTATCTCGTCTCGTTCTTGTGGACCCAATCTCAAATACTTCTCACCTTGCGGAAATGATGTCTCGCTCCATCCCTAATACACGGTTTAAACCAGATGCCCTTACTAACTGTAGGGGTCAAAATGTACCTCCAGCCTCTAGGTGTCACTGCTTTAATGTTCTGACTCACCCAGGCCTATTAAAGGGTAGTAATGAGTACAGTAGGTGCTGCATATGTGAAGAGGAACAGACTTTTGACCATAAAGAACAGAAAATGTGGCTGTATGCTGTAGGTGTTCCAATCAGTGGGAGCAGGTAGAGGGTGCTCTTGGACATAACGGACTCCAGGCACTCCAAAAAAAAAGTCTTTTGACCATGCCTTAAATTGAATGTATGGCAAATAAAGTATCTAAGCTCTATTCACGCCTAAGTCACAAACCAGGAAGACGTTTGGAAACATGCAATGACGACTTCCGGTGTAGTTCCCGACACTGGGCTCAACGACTAACTGTGATAAAACCCGTTGAAGTAAATGTGATCAGCGGTAAAAATGACGGAAATCAGCTGGAAAGTCTCCCTGGCTGAAATGTCCCCAAGCTGGAAAGTTCCCCGCAATTGTACCCTTTATGAAACTAATCTGTATACATATTTAAAAAATAACAATAATTCTCTGTAGCTTTGTAAGGTTCTTGTGTTGCGCCGCTTACAAATTATGTTCATGGCAAGCAAATAAGGAAATAAGTAATATTTCTTTCCAAATCAACAGTTACAGATGCTCTAGGACATTAGTCTGATTCAGTGATAGAATTCGTTCGCTCAACAGTAAGTGGGTACATTTTATCATTTAACCAGCCGCTGCTATTTGGTCGTGATGTATGTAATGCATCGCTACTGGTATATTAAGCTTTTCCCAAATCCCGTAGGAAGAAGGACAATAACGTCTTTCCCCTTGATAAAATTCACCAAACATTCTCTTTGTTCCAGCTTTAAATCCTCAATCTCAGGAATCGTTTACAACACTGAATGTATGACTCTTCGCTGATTGGCTGGTGCCCAGACTTGCATTTCTGGGGTTTTTCAAACCGTCTAGTGTATTCTGATTCCTGACCTAGTCGCTGGAGTGAAATTTAATTGAGCGGAGGCACTAGGTGGCGCCAGCATTTCTAATAGGACATGGGGAACAACAAAAAATGATTTAAAACACAATTTCATGTTAAACTTCTGCGAGCGAATGAGGATTATATTAATATGACATACTGAAGAAATGTGTGTCGTTTTGGAAAGATCGGTAAAATTACATAAACAAGGCCTGACATTTGGTCTCGCTAGATTCACATTTCATTTTATTATGACATAGAAGCTGATTTTCGAATTCAGTACATCATAATGCATGAGGTAGCCGACTAAAGCCCAGCAAGAACGTCCTGCTGAAAGAATGGGACGCTTGAGCTGGGACTTTCAAGCCAGGGGTACGCTCAGGACGGACTGTATACGTATGTGCTGTTTGGAATCATCTTGAATTCAGTGCCTCGTACCCAGTGCACTCGGAGTTGTGCGTCAGTGGGGAAATAATGAAAACTGAGATATGGTTGTAACTGTCGATTCGCCGAACATAACGGAACACTACAATGACGTGGAGATGAAGAAAACCGGGCCATTTTCTCATTTTTTGTAGATTCTGTCAGACTTACTATCACGAACAGAACCCAGAGGAAGATTTCGTTGCATGTTTCCAAACGTCTTCCTGGTTTGTGACCAGTATTTGGACTGCTATGATCAGGAACACGAGTCTGGAAAACCATCTCTTCACACTTTGTTTACCACAGTGGCCCTGGTGCAGAACCTTGGACCACAACATTAACCATATTCTGTCAAATCACAAAAATAATTGCCATGGACTTGATTAACTGAATTTGTCACATAGATCAAGATTTATTGTCGCATAATAAACAAGTTCCACCAAAATTCCAGATTATTTTGAATATTTATCAATCCATACATCTAGACTTATATAGGGCTTATGGCTAGAACATGCATACCCAATACCAGTGACTCAAAGCCAGCATCCTGCCACACTATAGTGCACCATTTTGGACGTGCTCCAAATCCACAGACATCCTTTCTGGCGACACAGATTCTCTTAAATCGCACCATAATTCAAAAAGAACTAATGAAACAAGCCAAGACTTTCAAGAGATTTCTAGATGCCTATCCACAGGTGAATACGAAAAAAAAGAAAGAAAATTCACATTACGATCCATTTGGGAGGCAACCAGAGCGTCTGCTGCAACCCCACCAGACAACAACGAGTTTAACAGTCGATAATTAAACTGTCATATAGGATTTTTACGCACAAATCGATGTAGTAAATGCGTAAAAGCCGCTATACGTGCAAGTCATGTCGCTGGGGGCAAGGGCGAGAGGGTGGCATGTGTGGTGCCAACTAGACAGGGGGCACTCCCATCTCCAAAAAAATATATTAATAAACAATTGTGCACAAAAGAATCGCGTACGCAGCGTGATTCGTAAATTGGAAACGGCTCGGAATCGTAACAGTAACAGGTGAATCGGTTGAGGTGGTGCAGCAGCGAAGTCAAGCCGGTCTCAGCATCACACCATCCAGGCGTGGACCAGAACAAAAGGCTGCAGCGGCGGAGATACGCAAAGCCAAGATGCAAAGGGGCAACCGTTTCCAAAAGCGCACGGATTACGCACGATTGGAAACAAGTTATCCAAGCTTATCCCACGTTAACGGCCGAGCCAAACGCACAAAGCAAACCAAATCTCGTTCAGCATCGCTTCACATGCACGCACATAACGCCACATCGCTGCACAATTGGAAGGGATTAGCAGGTAACACACTTCATTGACGAACTTTGAAACGCGGGGAAAGCGAAAACCGCGTAACGTAAATGGAGTTATTTGCGTAAAAAGCAGGGGGGAAACGCGTGCAAAGTGACGCAGAGGGGGGCTTACCTGGACGTGGGGGAGCAGAGCGGCGCTAGGAGTCCCGGTGAGGAGTGAGATGAGCCGGGGAGCAGGGGACGAGAGCGCCGCGGAGGGAGAGGGAGAGCCCGCCCAAATACCGTAAGTGCGCGAGTGGAGGAGAAAGGCGCAAGGGGATTCCGTAGAAGTGCTAAAGTGCATAAGTGCGCGAGGGTTGTAAATGAGAAACAGGCAAGACACGTGGTTTGGATGAAGTCAAGTGCAGATTGTTGGTTGTAATTTCGGTGAAAAATTTGAATTAAATAAAATATTAGCCGGAAAGAGCATGAATTGGTTTTGTCTTAAAGGAGACGTATTATGCAAATTACATGAGCTGTTGTAACGGTGTTCCCTCATCATTTGCTTAGTCAAACTTGGATTTTTACTTGCTTCAATCCTGTATTTTCCTGCATTTGAGGCTTCACTGCTCTAGACATGTGTTTTCATCTACCCCCTATCCCCGCCCACTTCTACATCGTCTATTCATTCAACAAAGTCACGTAAGGGTAAGTTTGATCACTTTTGCGGCTTACAAAGAACAAACTGTAAAATATACAAGGCCTATCCAGCAGTAATTGTAATTAGTTTTAAATCATAATGGCCAGAGCTTAGAGACGATGCAAATTATGGTTTAAAACTTTAGAAATTTAGTTTTATACTTTTTGATTGCTCAAGTTTTGTATTAAACTGTGATCTAAAATGTTTCTAAATTTGCATTTAAAAGTTACTTGTAAATAATATTTTACTTTTACTTGAATTTTGATTTTCAGTACTCTTTCCAACCACTGCACAGGAGAAAAAAAAACATATTATACCTCCTTTAAAATTGCCATAGACCTAATAACAAAAAAAAAATATTACAGAGGTGGGACAAAGTCGTTGTTCTGAGTCAAGTCCCAAGTCAAATACAGGCAAGTCCAAGTCGAGTCTCTAGTCATTGGCCCATAAGTCCAAGTCAAGTCCAAGTTGTCTGCTTTGAGCTTCAAGTCATTTCAAGTCTTTTAAACCAAAATACCAAATATAGCTTAGATTTTTGAAAGTTATATGATTTTTTTATATATTTTTTTACTCTATTGTACTTAAAAAGTCATGGTCTATTTATATGTCAGTATTTATGTTTATGTAAGAAATGCAAATATTTCCTTTTTAAATGTGCCAAGATCTTAGTGTGAAACATTACGGTCAGGACAGAAGGAATTTAGATTTAAAAGTGCTAAATAATTGTTATTTTGCCATGAAGGATCATTTTGTCTAGTTCTGTTTTACTGTATTGTACTCTATATTACTGCATATACCAGGGGTGTCCAGACTTTTCATCAAAGGCCACATATGTAAACACAGATGAAGCAGTGGGCTGATCAAGAGCTGTAGCCTGATGCTCAGTACAGTGAATAACTGAAATATGTGCATGATTAACCCGTTAGAATGAGCCATCAGTCTTTATTCATGCTTAAAACCACACACAACATATGAAATATTCACTTTATCATGGTAGATTTAAAAAATAAAATAAAATTGCAGTGAAAAGTTCATTTTTAATTGATGCAAGGCAATTTGGGCCAATTCATCTGGAAGACTGAGGGCCAAGAACAATTTGTCCGAGGGCCACGTTTGGCCCACGGGCCATAGTTTGGACATGCCTGGTATATACCGTATTGTACTGTGTATTACTGTAGTACATTTCAGGATACATACATCACAGTACCTCAGTTCTATCCAAAGTAAACAGAAGTGGGAGGGACATGTTTCATTTTGTTTCTGTAAAATTAAGCACCACATTTATCAACTGTAAAGTATTTTCTAAAAACTTTTTTTTTTTTCAAGTCACAGGCCTAATGCCCAAGTCACGTACCAAGTTTTAATCCATTTTATCAAGTCAAGTCTCAAGTCATAAAAATAGTGACTCAAGTCTGACTCAAGTCCCTCCTCTGCTCTACATTATTACAAATCCCAACAATTAAACTGGCTGATAGACTCGGCTGTGTTTCGTGGGCTGTGTTAAGTTTTTAAGGCCACTCTAATATTTAGGATGCACAATTATGTCCCTAAAATAAATGTTCTTATAACCAAAACGGGAGTCTTCCAAACATTGCATCAGTCACTACATAAAACCTATTTCATGTTCATTATTAAAAGATCAAATGCCAGTGAAAGTAAGAATAGAAAGAGTATAAAAGAGGAGTGTGAGAGAGAAGACAGTGGTATTAGAGGTGGAGGATCTGTGCTGGACTCGGACTCGGGCTGAGAGGAAGTGCTTCCCTCTGCAGTCACACCACAACTGAGGGGTGTGGCTGTTGCTGAGCAAAAGATGGAGCTCAGAGAGAGAGAGGAGAGAGAGAAAGACTGGAGAGGGAAAGAGGGAGAGGAGAGAGGAGAGGAGAGGGGAGAGGTGGAGATGAAGGGAGAGGGAGGACTGAGACGAGAAAGAGGGAGGGGGAGAGAGGAGAGTGAAAAACAGAGGGAGGGGAGTGATGGAGAGGAGAGGGAGGAGAGAGGGAAGAGAGGAGAGGGAAAGGGGAGAGAGAAAAGTGAGAAAGAGAGCCTGAGGGGGAGAGAGGGAGGGAAAGGATGGAGATGAAGAGAGGGAAGAGAGGAGAAAGAGAGGGAATGAGGAGAGAGAGAAGAGAGACAAGAGGGACGGAGAGAAAGAGGAGAGATAAGAGAGAGCGGGGAAGGGAAGGAGGGAGAAGGGAGAGGAGAAGAGAAAGAGGGGAGAGGGAGAGATGGAAAGAGGAGAGAGAAGAGGGAGGGAGAGAAAGGAGAGAGAGAGTGGGAAGCAAAAGAGAGGGGGAGAGGGGAAGGAAAGGAGAGGGAGAAGGAGAGAGCAGAGAGAAAAAGAGGAGAGATGCGAGAGCGGAGAGTGGGAGGCGAGAGAAAGGCAGAAAGGGGAAGGAAAAGAGAGAGAGAAGAGAGGGAGAAGGAGAGGAGAGAGAATAAGAGAAGATAAGAGAGAGGGGGAAAGGGAACGAGAGAGAGGAGAGGATAGGTTGAGGGATGGAGAGACAAGGAAAGAAACAAGGGGAGACATGGGGAGAGAGAAAGAATGATGAGGAGAGAAGGGGAAAAGAAGAGATGAAAGAAGGCAGGCAGAGAAAAAGAGAGTGTTCCACAATTCTTTAAAATACCCTGATTTTTAAATGATATTAAACTTATATTAAAATAATTGATAAATATTAGAGATTATAAAAACACCGCCTCATGAGTCATGTCACTGTCTGTAACCTGCCTGTGTAATGCTCCCTACAACTACTGCCACCTAGTGACCACAACACCACAGTACAACTAACTATTCCCATCCGTTTTTATTTCAATTTAAAGTTAAAGTAAATAGAAAAATAAAGTCTATTCATAGCAACATACTGCAAAGATTTAATGCGGTTTTAGATTTTCTGAAGTTCACAAATTTAGAGCGATTTAGTAGATTATGATACAACCATGGCAATATAGTATAAGTTATCAAAATTCACATCAAATTTATACTCTGTGCAAAAGCAATAAAATGTACAAACGAGGCACAGTATTTTCAGTCGAACACAAAAGTGCACGTACATTCAAAAGTACTTATTTAGGATTGACAATACTGCGAGCTATGAGCTCTTTCATGATCTCGTTGGTGCCTCCGTAGATGGGCTGTACTCTGGAGTCCACAAAAGTTCTATGGAAAAAAAAAAAAGAGAATGTTAGAAATGTTGGTAAACATTTGGTGGTTGTTGGTTTTGAAACAGATTTGGATAGTACTCACTTGGCAATAGGGTATTCCCACATGTAACCCCAGCCTCCGTGGAGTTGTAAACACTGGGTAGCCACTTTGTTCTGGAGGTCAGACGCCCTAAAGAAAGAATAATTACAGGATGATGAAAATTAAAGTTGAAATTTTAAACTTAATTGTTTGTGTACTAACAATGATGACTTTTTCTGTTATTTGCCAATAAATTATAAGTTTGATTCTCTGGTGTGAACGTCCATTTTTGGACAAAAGGCATCACATGGGCTCGTCCAACTGGCACGATGTGAAAAAGTCAAATCCCCCTGATCCCTGCATAATCCAAGTGTGTTGCTCACCAGTACTTGGCCATAGAGGCCATGGGAGCGTCCAGGCGTCCCTCTGCGTGCAGCTGCAGACAACTGTCTACGAAAGCTCTGCCCACACAGATGTCTGTCTTCAACTCGGCCAGTTTGTGCTGCACAGTCTGAGGACACACACAAACACACACACATGAGGAGCACATGGGGAATACGTGGGATCTACAACATCCAACTTGGATAAGCCTAAAATCGCACCTGTAGATGGGAGATAGTTTTGCCAAAAGCTTTCCTCTGCATCACGTAGCTCCTGGTCTCCTCAAACATGAACTCTGCACTGGCTAAAGCCATGCCCGCGATCACCAGACGCTCCTACACAAACACACACAAGAGCACATCATTAACAACTGTGCCATAAACACACATCACTAACAGAGAATTCTACATCATTAACAGGTTATGTTGATCTGACACAAAGCTCTGAAGGCACCTTATACTTTTACACAGGACATTAAAAGAGCCAGCCACTACTGGGTACATCAGTACATCAGTGTAGAGGATGTTACTGTGTTATTCAAAAACAATCCCCATACATCCCAACCATAAACCACGGCTAAATGCTGAGGTGTGTGAAAATGAGATGCTGGTGTAACGAGAGCGTATAAGAACCACGCTCTAAAGATTCAGAGTCATCTCTCCACCAGTGACCCTCAGAGAATGTGGGCAGGCATCAGCGAAATAACACACTATAAAAAGAAGGAGACAGAGAGCCCAGGGGACCCTTCTCTCCCTGATGCCTTCAGCAACTTTTATGCGTTTGAAGCCCTAAACACCAGACTTCCAGACTCACAAGTGACATCTAGTGATCTTAGTGTAGCAACATCAGATGTGAGGACAGCGCTGCAGCAGGTGAACCCTCGGAAAGCTGCAGGTCCAGATAAGCTGCTTTGGCGAGTGAGCAAAATGTGTCCGTGAACTCTCTGGAGATACTTACTCACGTTCACGCCAAAGTACTTCAAGAGAGCTTCCATCATACTGTCCCAAAGTGTAGCACTGTGTCAACCCTGAATGATTATTGTCCTGAACTTTAGAAAATGGGGGTGGGTGGGAGACGTTTTTAAAGACTGCATTTGACATTCAATATTTTAAACTATTTATTGTATTTTTTTAATGCTGCTGATAACCTGGACCTGAGTGTTTTGTTTCTGTGTATTTTTTTGACTAAAATGACGGCGTCTTCATTGTCTGAGGAAGTCGTTCTAAAACCATGCAGATAGAACCATGATGACACTGTTCTAGAAAATGTTTATGGATTCGGTTTGAACTTTTTCACTGGTCTCATGGTTTTGGAGCATCTCTGCTAAAAACAAGAACTCCCTGACTCAGTTGGTTAAATGGGCGAGTGAGGTGATAGTCTGTCCTCAGAACTGCCTGGACTCTCTGTACTCAAGATGGTCACAGGGGATGTTCCAGAGGATTCTAAAAGACATGCAACATCCACTAAACTCAGTTTCAGCTGCTTTCCTCTGGTCAGAGGCTTTTAGTCCCAAGATCTAGAACGAATCGTTTTAAAAAGGAGCTTTGTTCCAGCAGCTATCGTACTTATGAATAAATTGTAATCTATTTGTCTATCAGTTTTAGTAAGTTGTCTTGGAAAAAAATCGTGTGTTTTTTTATATATTTAATATTTATTGTGATCTTAGCCAAACGTAATTGATAAATTTGATTAATTGTTTATGGAAAAAAGCCATTCTGCAGTGAAGCACTATAACACTTTATTTTGTGTGTTTTTACATGTTTATTGTACATAATGAACTGTGAAATGTGGGACCAGCCTCTCAAATCTGCAAAACAAATTTACCTACAGGTACGAATAAAAAGACCTAACCTAATCAAGCACTTCAGATAAAGCACTGGCTACTGCTTTTAACACTGCCTGAACTTAAATTAAAATCCCGCACACTGTGTTACTTACAAATTGTGAGATTTATAAGGACAAACCGTGCAACATTTCCACACTAGGCCTTCCTCCTCTAGGCCTAATCTCTAATTTACAAGTAAGACGGTGTGTGGGATTTTTCTCTGTTCTTGGGCAGCTCCCTCTCCTCCAGCGCACCCGTCTCAAGTAATTGATGTGCGAAGTTCTCATTCTTTTATACCGCTGCCTGAACTAAAAACAGACTTTCTCCACAGCGCCTCAGTCTTGCCACCACAGTCAGGGCAGAAAAGTACTGAATACTGTCTGGTTTTACTCTACTGCTACTCAACCACTAAACTTAAACAGACAAACATAAGCACCTGTCACACACAACCTAAAAATATCATGAGGCGTTTTTATCCATTGATTCCAGGCCCTGTACGTCACAGTGTCGGTTTAGAAGGATGTGCAGTGAGAGCTCTTAGTGAAGTGTCCTCCTCACCTGGGGCAGCTCGTTCATCAGGTAGAAGAAGCCCTTGTTGACCTGTCCCAGGAGAGCGTCAGCGGGCAGACGCACATCCTCAAAGAACAGTTCCGCAGTGTCCTACAGAACAAAGACAACATTTCAAAATGCACGTTTCAGATCAGAGGTGATGAGTACTATTTACATTTACTGGTAACTTCCTACAGAAATTCCTTTTTGGACTGCATACGTTTACCTCAACTTGAGTAATGCACTGTACAGTGTAACAGTAATTACTGTATTTTTCGGGCTATAAGTCGCACTTTTTTTCATGGTTTGGGTGGTCCTACGATTTGTACATTAAAATTTGCACCCCGGCAGCCACGAGAAGGCGGTCTAGGCTTGTGTGTCAGTATCTGCTGCTCCTATTACTCCTGCACATGGACCATGTACCACTTCAGACTCTACTGCTCATATCTCCTGCAGAAAGACTCGCTGTCCTGCTGCAAGTAGTGAAATCAGAAATCAGCAGCAGAAAGAAAGTTTGGAGTGAGCGAGAAACTTGTGACACCGGGAGGATGCACCATGAAACTTTCCTGAAGTCAGTGGATGGATGGACAAAGTCTGGACTTCAGTGACACTGAAACCATCCTGTTGGGATTCAGAAAGACCCGAATAATTCTAACTGAAACCGATGCTGAGTCTGACGACAGCGACACAGAAGAGGAAGCGACGCTCTGTTTACCTCCAGAGGTCGAGGCCGAGTTGCTCAGAAGTGACACCGAGGATGAAGAATTGAATGGATTTAGTGATTTGGAGTGAGATGGAGAGTTTAGTAAACTTGTTCTGTTCTGTTGTTTATGTTATAGTTTATCTGAAGAACTGTTCATATGTGACGTTAACAGTCTGTTGTTCTCTCGTCTATTGTTTTTACTAGTACTTGACTTTCAACAGGAAATGTCAGTTCCTGGTCTCTGATTTTATAAAATAAATTTCCCCAAAAAAGTGCGACTTATAGTCCAGTGCAACTCATGATTTTTCTTCATGACGCATTTTTTGGCTGGTGCGACTTATACTCTGGAGTAACTTACAGTCCAAAAAATACGGTACTTGAGTACAACTTCTGGCTGCTCTACCCACCTCTTAGCTTTTAGATTTTAACATACATAAGGTATAATGGTTTACCTGGGCCAAAATTTCATTTCAGATTTATTTGTTATTTTGAATTTAACATAATCTGTAAAAAATAAGTCACTTCCAATCACACAGATTTGATAATATTATAAAACAGTAATATTTGTTCCTTCAGATGAACATTTTCAGTTAAAGACGCACAGTGTAACTTTTCTGCTGGTCCTGCTTGTCTCCATGGAGATGTTGCTGCTTTGCCTGGAATATTCCACATTACACTAGGTATAGTTGATTTTGTATCTTGCATTTATTCAAGTGTTATTATGATTTTCAAAGCATGTTTTAGCATTAATTACTCTGAATGGGCTCGTCTCTCCACAGATCAGACCTGTAACTTATCCTGGTACTACCCTCTTGTCTCCATGGCGAAACAAAACTCCACCGCCTGTGCAGATGTCAGAGTAAAGCTGGCGCAGAGCTGTACCTGTGCCTTCAGACCGATCTTCTCCAGCTTGCGTCCCTTGTTGAAGCCCTTGGTGCCGTCCTCCACCAGGAACAGACTGATGCCGTGGGCGGGGGACTTGGCCTCGCGATTCGTCACCGCCACCACCACCACCAGGTTCGCCATCCAACCGTTTGTGATGAACACCTGAGGTACAAGAGTTCAATTCAGATTCATTCATTCATTACTGTGACTGGAGTGAGCAACACAGAGCCCATATTACACTATTTTCTTTCTATGTTATAAAGGTTGTTTCCTCCACCTTCCAGGGTTCCTTTTCAACTTTTCCATGACTTTTTCATGACTTAAGTGAATTTTCCATGACTTTACAGCATTGTTTCCCAAAGACTGGGTTACGACCCTCAGGTAGTTTGCAAGAGATTTTTTTTGGGGGGGGGGGGTCACCCTGACACAATCTGCATGTACAGTTCTTCAATGCTTATTCCTTTCACCACTTCATAAATGTGTGAATTGAGATTTTCTGTGCTCACAAAAATGAAGACAAATCACAGAAACTGACTGAATGCTGCACCTGATCTGCTGCTGCGCTCTCCTCCTGCACCCAGACTAGAATACACTACAAAAACACAAACAGGCCTAACTATCTCATAAGAAATGTTAAGACATGTTTTGTATAATTTCTAATCTTTATTTTACTGACCATTTTGTTCCAATATTGCTGGTTCAATTGAATGTTGAAAAGTAAAAGAAATGTTCCACAGGCGACTTATGGATCCTTTTATTGCTGCTTCAATGACTGTTTTTCATTGTTTAAAACTTATACATTGTTTAATACTAATTGTTCAGAGACACGATCACTCAACATAAAATATCCTCATTAATGTTCAATAATGGTCATATCCACTTTTATTTTGTGATTCATGAATAATGCTGTAAATATTGACTTGGGTCATGAAGGTTTGTGACTTTTAAAATATGGGTCCCCACAAAAAAATGTTTGGGAAGAACTGCTTTAGAGCACCTTACATGTGTAGAATTTCACATACTTCTAGGGCTAAATATGAAATATTAACTCTTTCCACTCACCTTATGGTTTGGGATTATAGTTTTAACATTCAAAATCCTGTCAGTGCATTTATCGTCGCCTCTTTTAAACAAAAGGTGCAGATGTTCAGAAATAATCAGAACAGCCTAATGAAAACTTAACTGAATGCTGCAGTTGCATGAAAGAGACACTAAAATTCCATGACTTTTCCAGGCCTGGAAAATGACATTTTCAATTTCCATGGCTTCTCCAGGATTTCCATGACCATGGGAACCCTGACCTAGTCAGGCTGGCGCCACCTAGTGCCTCTGCTCAATTTCATTTCTCTCGAGCGACTAGGTCAGGAATCAGAATACACAAGATGGTTTACAAAAACCCCAGAAGTTGTAGACCACACACCGGCCGATCAGCTGTGAGCTGTGAAGCCATGACGTCAAACTCAAGCTCCTGTCTGGGTCCCTTTTGTGGTACAACACAACAGTAAACAAAATGTCGAGATGGATGCAGACGAAGACAGACATTCTGTGTTGGCAACGATTTCCGAGATCGAGGATTTAACAAAGAGAACAAAGAGAATGTTTGGTGAATTTTATCAAGGGGAAAGACATTATTGTCCTTCTTCCTACAGGATGCATTCCATACGTCAGAACCAGCAGCAATTGGTTAAATAAAAAAGTACCCGCCTACCGTCGAGCAAATGAATCCTAATGCTGCGAGGTCAGAAGGTTTCTAGGAAGTGAAACCGGCTGAAGAATCAGGCTAACCCTCAACTTCACTAGAATCATTTGGATAAGTTCAGCCCTGGAATTGCTACTTCATGACATCACAAGGTGGAACAGAGCATTTTGAGTTTTGGAGATGCAGACAGACTAATAAAGATTTACTCAAGCATGTGTGAAAGAAACAAAACATCACTCCACGTCTGTTTTTGAAAAGTTAACCTATAGAAAAACTAACCCAACTTTATTATAACATGGCTTTAAGCTCCATTTTGTTTAATATAGGAAATTTAACTAACTTGCCCATTTACTACAGCAAAATACTTGTCTCATCAGTGACCCAATAAAAGTACTACAAATGTACTCAATTACTAAAAAAAGACAATTATTCTTAAACCAAATCTGTTACAAAATATTTTTTGTGCAACTATTTGGTAATGAATTTCAAATGTAGATGTTAGTATTGATTAGTCTTTCAAACTCCATGTCAATTTTAAAGGAAAGACTCAGAACTCAGTATTCTTTTGAATATGACAATGAGAATAAAAAACACAATTTATTTAGACAACTGTACTGTATGTTATTTTCAACATTAAATCATTTCATCTTCAAGAAAGGTTCATTTCTGTCCTGTGAATGTGACTTTTTTTTTAGTATCAATAACTGTTCCAATGAGTATCTAGTTTCGACATTAGTTTTACTATTGATTACTATCTGAATTTTGTGTTGACATGACCATACCTTGTTTCCATTTAGGATCCAGTCACTCCCGTCTTTCCTGGCGTTGGTCCGGACTCCTTGTAAATCACTACAACACAAAGCACATTTGATTTATCCCTAAACATGCTCTCCCTCCATCTTTCTACAGTCTCTCCACTCCACAGACCTGCCCGCGCCCGGCTCTGTCATGGCGATGGCGGCGATGCACCTCCCGGCCGTCATCTCGGGGATATAGCGCTGGATCTGCTCTTTCGATCCGTATTTGGAGATGTACGGCATCACGATGTCTGAGTGTAAACTGAAGCCTGGCCCAGTGCAGTTGGAGTACATCCTAGTAAAGAGATGTTAGGAAGTTAAAGATGGGCTGTGGAGCTTTTCTAGCAGAGGGTTCGCCACCTGCTCGTCTGCCTAGAGATGTTCCAGCTTTGCTAGAAATATTACAGTATGGCATTACACATATCTAGCTTGCATTTATAAAGTTACAGGTGTAGGAGAAGAAATGCGGCTGCTGCTCTAATGCTCCATCATCATCAGAGCAAAAGGGAAACACTGGTCCCACTTTTGGTGCATCGGCTCCTAAAACTCCGTTTATCTCACTTTACATGCAAACGCCAACCCGTAGTTTTCCAGAATCTCCACTCTAGCCCGAGTTTTTAGAATGATTTGTTTTCAAAAGGTGAATTTGTCATTTGTGTGTAAAAGATGAAATCAAACGAAGGGAAATGTCTCAGTTTTTATAAATACCCATGTACATGTAACCGGGCCATAGTATCACAGCCATGACTTAGCTTTTATTTTTTACTGAACCGTACTGAATCGATTTGAAATATATCGCACCAAAGCTCACTGTACCGAGATATGTATCGTATCATGGCCTATGTATCGAGGTATGTATCGTATCAGCAACTTCTTAATGATACCCAGCCCTACATTAGATATTAAATAATTGTTTAGAAGCCATCAGCTGAACGGGATTCATTGTATTTTTCTAGAATAAAGTGACAAAACGTCTCATTTCCCCGGACATGTCTTCCTTTAGGGACCCGTAAAAACATCTGGGAGGACTTTCTAAATTATGCCAAAATGTGTGGGATTTTGACCTATCAGTTGACAACTTTGAGTGTGACCCTTATCTTAGTTTTGGTGGTAATCTTTGCTCATCTGATCAGATACAATCCCGGGTCTTAATGAGATCTTATCATACTTCCATGGACGCAATCGCCGGCGTTTCTCCAGCACTGTGCGTCTAAACCCCGCCCCTTCCATTCTCGCTCCCTTGCGCTCTCATGGCGAGGGGACAGACCGTTCTTTTGATCACAAAATGAACCTACATATTACGAAAGAATATCAGCTTCTGAGGAGAGATTGGATGCAACACAGTTCTTTGTCTCAAACTCTGCACCACTTTTTCCATGTCCCTGTGCGTCAGATGCCCTGCCTTTGTCTCCATGGGGTCTTATTCTGTGTAAAAGCCAATTTGTTTTATTTATTTATTGAATTCTTACTCAACTTACTGTTCTTCCCACATGATATCCGCGTAGTAGACGTCTCCTCCGATACCGCCGTGTTCTTCGGGTATGAGCAGTCCCAGCAGGCCTTGCTCTCCGGCTTTCTCCCACAACTCTCTGCTCACCTGACCATCCTTCTCCCACCTGGAACAAAAACAAACATTACATGATTATCTGGCAACAATAATCATAAAAAAATAAGGGATGGACAATATGCTATTGCTAATAATGGATGGAATGAAAACACAATACATGCATCACGAATTTCGAACTGGGAAGGATTCTCCGAAAAAGTGAGCACGAAACCGCCATGTTTGATTTCCCAGTGGGATGCCGATCTTTTCAAGTCTTTTGAACCATATCGCTTTTGTTTCTGGTTCTCATATTGTCATTTTAGTTTTGGAATTCGGACATTGTAATTCTGCGGCTGTTGGATGTCAACAGCAGAAAACAGCTCAAGAAATGGGCTTCGGAAGTTTGCAAACTCCATAAATACAAAGCGAATCAGATCTGTTCAAACCATTTCTCTTCCCAACAGAATTGAAAAATAGTGAAAGGTGAAGGTGATGGGCAGGATTGATCCACAGGAAGAACCAAAAAGGAAACCTCTGACTGCCTAAGAAATCATCCCGGGTTTGCAGCGAACATTTTGTATGTGGAGCGACAACAAAGCAAAACCCTGATCCCTCACTCAACCTTGGTTATGAATTTAAAAAGTCAACGCCGAAGCAAAAGGCACCAGCTGTTCACCAAGAAACACCTTCCACTGCAAAGAGACCAAGACGTGATATTAGTGTAAAACCACAAGAACAAGAGAGTGCAGCTCAGCCTGTTTGTCTTCTGCACCTCTGTTACGGCCCCAGGCCTTAGGTTTAATTTGCTGTGTGATTTTTGCGAAGTTCTCCTAATTCCTGCTGCAGGAGTCCTGGTCTGTGATTGGTGGGGCAAGTCGACGCCCACCTCACCTGCAGCCACCTCCCCCTATTTAAGGAGATTGCCAGCACCTGTTCGGGGCTGCTGGCCTTGGTGGCCAGTCTGCCATTTTGTTTTGTGTTTGTGTGTGTAGTTTAGTTTAGTTTAGTGCCTTTTTTGATTTGGTCATTCGATTCTGTTTGTGGGTTTATGTGGTTTAATTTGGGGAACTTGTGTTTTAGCTTAGTGTGTGTCCCTAAGTTTTACCACTCGTTTTTGTGTAAGCCTGTGTGACCCCTTTTCTGGCACAAAACTCTGTTTATTCTGTTGTTCTATTTCTTAGTTTAGGTTGTTTTCTGTGTATTTTTAGTGTTTTGTTAATTTACCTTTACATTCCTGTTAATTAAACATTACTTAATTTATTCCATTTTACATCTTGGTTTTATTTTTGTTTCTTCCCTCACCCCAAACAAGTTGGGTCGTAACAACCTCTCCATTAACAAACAGGATTTTGCCTTGTTGTTGCTCCACATACAACTACAAACTCGGGATGATTTAGGCAGCCAAACGTTAACTTTTTGGTCCTTTCTGTGGATCAATCCTGCCCATCTCCTTTACCTTTCACTATTTTTCAATTGCGGTGAGAAGAGAAACAGTTTGAACGGAGGTTTGCAGTCACACACATCTGATTCACTTTTGCAGTTATGGAGTTCGCAAACTTCCGAAGCCTGTTAGGACATCCAACAATTGCACAGTTACGATGTCTGAATCCCAAAAGTAAAATAAGACAATATCAGAAACAGAAACAAAAGCGATATGGTTCACAAGACTAGAAAAGATCGACTTTGTCAATAGATGCATCCCACTGGAAAACAAACATGGAGGTTTGATGCTCACTTTTTCGGAGAATCTTTCCCAGTATGCATTGCGTGATGACCGGAAGTCCAAAATTCTTGATGCATGTATTGAGACAGATGTTTCATTCAAAAAGGCTATTGCCCATGTTCCGTAGTATGGCATTAAACATACATTTACTTCAGTACAGTTCAGTTCAGGTGTTTCTATGCTCAAAGATAACCTGAAAAACATACTATGACCTGCAGTTTTCCTTATTTCCCTATTAAGTTTATAATTTCACCTGGGTGGAAATGGGTAGCTGGTATGAAATAGGTGTACATAGAGGCAATTCTAGTTTTTTTTACCTAGCAACCATAGTGTTAACAAGGCCCAAAGCTAGTCTCATTTGCACACACGAGTTATTTGACAAATACAAATAAATGCAATGTCCTATCTACATTTATATCAGCCTCTCCAAAATATCGTAATAAATATCGTACCGTGAGATGCATATCGTGATAATATCGTACCGAAAGATTTGAATATTGTTACATCCCAAGTAAACAGTATTAATCTGGTGAGCGTTCGTACTTGCTGTGATGTGGGACCACCTCCTCGGCGAAGAAGCGTCTGACATTTTGTCTGAACAGGTCGTGGTCTTCGTTAAAGATGCGGCGAGTCCCAATGTCCAGGAGGGTCTTAGCCGAACCGTTTTCCAACCGGGACGAGGGGGGAGGGGAGGAGGAGTCTTCGGCCCGATTGTGCTGACATCTAAAGATCAAAAAATATGATTCGGACAAGTCATTTGAGATTTACAGGTCCTACAGTATATTACCCAAAATGAACTCAAAAGGAGATTTAAGAAGGTTGTTACCTCATTAGAAACAGACCTGGAGTTGTGTTTTGTTTCATTCTCATATGTTTGAGTAACCCTTTATTATCAACTCCAAAGCTCAAAATGCTCTGTTCCACCTTGTGATGTCATGAAGTGGTCATTTTCAAGTGAACAGCTACATTTTAGTTTTTGTTTAGAAGAGATTGGCAATTCTAAGTGTGAGAGATCTGATTATTTAATTCACAGTTATACATGATCGTTGTGAATTAATGTGAACATTAATTATTTTGAGGTTCACTGATACCCCCTTTTGTTTTTGTGTCATTATTGTCTTAAATTCTGAACATTGTTGTTTTTACAAGGTGCATTTGAACGCCCCGCACTGGTTTTTGTACATGTGCCTTGAACTTGACTGGAGTGTTTTAACCGCAGCAAGGCACGGGATGAGAGCGGGGGGTTGTTGTAGCCGCTTTAACTTTTTTGTGGCTTCATAATAATATCTCCTTGTGGAAAAGACAACCTAAATCGTTTCTGTGCCTGAAGATCTGCAACATAAGACTGAAATGATCCAAATGAATCTCATGAAGGTGTATGGACAAGGTGTATGGACACAGTGGAGCACTTCCTGTATTACACACTGTATCATGGATTCTTTTCAGGCGGTGGAGATATCTGATATTTGAATTGTTACTGTGGCTGATTACCTCATATTTAGAGATCGATTTTCAAAACAGTTGAAAATCAGACAATAATGAATACTAAAACTAGTATCAAAACTAGATGCTCATTTAAGCAAGTATCAATACTGAAAAAAAAAATCCAGGGGTGATATTATCCCACTGATTCTAGTGAAAGAGTATAGAGTTTAAAAACACAGTGAAGAACTTCCTATATTACAACATGACATCACAAGGTGGAGTATTTTCTGGTTGAGAGAAAAACTCAGCCAATCTGCCTCAACTTAAGTTTACACGTATGGCAGTTGTGTTAGGGTTTTTGCCATTGTCTTGCTTTGTTTTTTAAGTTATTTCACTGTATTAACTGTGTTTTACATCAATTAAAAAAAGAAAGAAAGAAAGAAAAAAAAAGAACTCAGTCTAAATATTCAGGATTTATGGGTTAAACATATGAATAAAACAAAAGAAAACTCCATTGAAAATAACAAATAAACATTATAACATAGTAAACCGTGTAATACAGGACCTTTAAAACTGAACTTAAAAATTTCAAAATGGAGCTTTTACTTATAACAATGTAATGCAGATTTATTCTTTATTCTTATTAACAAAACATTGGACAAGATGGACAAGTCATTCCTGTTATAAAACAGTTACAGCCAATTATTTTAATAGACGATTTATCCCTTCATGTATAAGTTATTCATTGATAAGATAAGGAATGTTTACCTCACAGACACGGCTGGGAATATCCTGGTTTGAACTGTGACATTCCTGAGGCCAGATAAACACGCCTTTGCGAATCTGTGAGCGAGCATTTTCTGCAAAAAACACAAAACATCAAAATTACTAAATAAAATATGCAAATAAACACTTTAAACTTAACTCCTAATCAGAGGTGGATAGTACTTAGTTATATGTAGGCCTACTAAGTTACATTTACAGTACAAGAGTTGAGTAACTTTTTTAAAGAAATTGAACTGTTCTGGGTAGAATATTTTAGTCCTACATTAATAGGGTGTCCAAATTTTCTAAATCAAAAACTGGGACACTCTCAATTTGGAATGGTTAGTAATAATAAAACTGTGAAAGGAGTGGGTAATTAAGGAAAACTGTTATGCACTTAGCCCATGTGAGTCAGTATAGTCACATTTTCTTTGTGTTTTGGTAATTTTTAAGCAGCTTTTCTGTATTTTACCTAAACTAATGACAATATATGCCTCTCTTTACTGTTGGCAGGGATCAAATTGGTCCAAAATAGAGACACCAGGGACATTTCTTGTATAAAACTGAGACAAATCTGCTGGGACAGTGGACACAGGGCTCCTCCGTAAATAGGGACGGCTGGTCACTCTATACTTGAATCATATTTTTACTCAAGTAATAGTACCCTTAAACTACGTGCGCACTACTTCTGCAATTCTATCCACCTCGAACGGCTGAAAACACTTTTAGGTACGCAAAGCACTGGCTAAACATGCTAACTGTGGCTGGCATAACAAGACCGTTTTAACTTTATTTTAAATTACACTGATAAAAGTAGTTTATTAGAGCAAAGGTTACGGAGGCGGGACCTTGCCTCATTCTGCTCACTGATTGGCTCAGAGGTGTATTAAGCTGACAGCTGATTGGTTAGTTAGCTTTGTTATAACATTTTGGGCAGCTCTCCAGTTTCTGCAGATAAAGTTCAGACGATTTACGAAAAATATTTCTCTAAAATGAATTATCCGAATGGCAATGGGTTAAACTTACCCTCCAAGAAGTAAAACAGTGGTTAGATGGTTTATATTGAAGAAAAATAGGAGAAAGTTGGAGAAGTAGACACAGATCTGGCAGTGTTTTTGTCAGCGCTTCTTCGGCTTTCGCGCCAGGCTTTTATAAAGGAAGGGACTGCTCACTGTCGCCCTCTAATGACCAAGAGTTGTATTGCACATGTATATTTTTAAGTAGAAAAATAATAACTGAGTGACCATAATGAGTCATTCATTGATAATAATGAATCAACCATTTTAACAATGTTTGATCGGGACAAAAGCTTTGTATTGACTATAATAACAAAAAATATTCAAGCTTATTAACATATGCTTTTAGTTTGTCTAATTTTTTTTGTTTTTGTGAAGATATGCAATTTTGTGCTTTCTTTCATGTTTTGTCCTTTTAATTACATAATTTTTCAAGTAGTCTATGCTAATGAACAACCAAATTATATTTTTTTTACTCCTACTACTTATTTTTATTTAGTTATTTATTTGTAAAGGGACAGCTCATATTAAGGGAACATTTATAATCCTTACTCTTACTTAAAAAACTTAATCTTTGTATCTTTTTTTCCACTTTAAGCTTCCTGTACGTGTTTACCTTTTGTTCTTTTTATTACAAATAGCAAATAAGAAAACATAACTTAACGTCTTACTACTTCTATAAGCCTAGAGTTTATTTCGAAGTAACATTACTTTTTTTTGACTACTCGACACTTCTTCATTTAACTGAGACAAAACTGGACACTGTTTAGACACAAACTAATGTAAAAGTAAGAATTAAAAGTTAAGTAAGTTGTTACATAAAGTGGTGGGACATGGTGAAGTGTACTGCTGCATAGAAGACTGCTAAAATACTACTAAACATCAGCCATTAATCTATTAAACTAGATACTCATTTGAGCAAGACGTTTTCGATTTAACATCTACGTTTTACCTTGGTAGAAACTGGAAATTTCAGGGCTGAATCTGTCCAAATGGTTCTAGTGAAGGCGCATAGTGTTTTAAAGCACATTTGAGAACTTACTGTATTACCACATGACATCACAAGGTGGAACTGAGTGTTTTGTTTTTGAAAGAATGTGTGAATGAAACAAAACACAACTCCAAATCTGTTGTAAAATATTTCAGATCAAACTAAAAGAAGTGAAAAACCAGTCCAGGTGGGATGTACGTTGGAAAAGTTTATTCTGACATGAACAGAATGAATATAAATACAACGTTTGGTGGTTGGTGGGTTTGTGGGTGTTTGCGGGCGCTCTCTCCACAGCCGGTCCCCAGCACCTTGGGCTCTGCTGGGCCAGTGGTGAGCGACTGGTTGGAGTGGCGGTGGGAGGGAGGGATCTACCCCCACTTGATGAGTGGTCACCCCTCCTCCCCCGTTCCTCACCCCATGACGAGTGGATGGAGACGGCGTGCCCGGGGGGGAGAGGCAGCGAGGTGGGCTACAGTGGGCGGAGAGGAGGGGGTACGACCGGAGAAGGAAAACAATATACAAAGGAAAGGGTTAGCTTCAACATCCCGCCAGCGCACATAGTCCTTATCTTTCCGGGTTGGTCTTTAGACAGTGTGGATGTCCTCACACTAGGGGGCGCTGCAGCACGTCCAGCTGTGGCCTCTTACACAGACATGATGTGCTTGACGAAAGCTGTGGAGGGGAGACAAGAGAAAATACGTCAAATTTGTTTTACTGGTCATGTGTATTAATGTCTAAGATATAAGGATAAAACTGAGAAAGACATACACAAAAACAAAACAAACAAAAAACTATTAAAAAACACACAAAATTAGCTAAATTTACAGTAAAATAACAACAAAAATACATTTAAAACAATCTAAAACAAAAAATAATAAAAAATAATAATAAAAAGGAAAACCTAAAGATATAAATATTTTACACAAATATGATGCAATTTTTGTATTACTGGAACTGATCACTGAATCACTTTTAAATATCTTTACTCTGGTATTTCATGTTTTAGAAAAAAATAAATAACAGTTATGGTGTTTTGAAGGAGCAGACTGATTCATAAATAAGTATGAATGAAGAAAAATACAACTCTCCTCAAAACTCCTTTAATTTTCTCAAAAATCGTCAGTGTGCTTTATAATCCGGTGTGTCTAATGTATGAATTGTATAATTGTGTTTTTATACGTGTTTTTTGAACATAATATGGATGAATGAAATGTGAAATGTGGGACCTGTCTCTCAAATCTGCAAAACAAATGAAAAAACCTACAGGTACGAATAAAGCAACCTAACCTAACCAACGAAAACAGACGAGAGAATTCAACATTACTGATAATCGGTGTACCTTATAGGCCAAAATATATGGTATGCTTTAGACGAGGGAACAATGTTATAAAATGGTTAAAAGCTTTTTAAGATGACAGTTAACAAATATTAAATATTAGCCCATTATGCTGTGGTTAAAAAATAAAAACACTCTTGTTTAGGAGAATAAAAATAAATATGAGAATAGTCACTGCATAGTTGGAATAGTTTGTTTTGGCAATATGCACAAAAGAAATGAATACAGTAAACTGCAAATGAATCGTTCAAATGTGAAAAGTGAATAAAGTTTTAAAAATATAGTGTAGAAAAAAGTATGACTATATACTGTGTACTATTGTCTAAACCTTTTTCCTCGGGTGAGCTTCCTTTACAAAATTAAACTTCCAGAGAGCTACTAATTTTAGCGGTCAAAAGAAATAAAGTAAGAGCCATAGCAAGACTTGGATGACGTACAATTACATAAAACATGAACCAATATTTGTTTATGAGTGCACAAAGTCAGGCACCAAAATTATAGAATTAAAATAATAATAGGCATTTAATTCATCAAATTTGAGTTATTCAGGACGATATGTGTAATTCAGAAATCCCTTGGCGAGCTACTGGTTGGAGACCCCTGAATCTTTCCTGTGAAAATGTGATGAAGACTTACCCTCATAGTGCACACTGCCGTTCTCGTCCTCCTGTCCCTGCATGAGGGCGTCGATCTCTGGCTCGGACATCTTCTCTCCTGTAGGGGGCAGCACAGCACACAGTCAGCACTCAGCGTTTCTAACAGATCCCACGTGAAGCTCCCTACACTGTCCCCCTCCTCTGCGCAGACTTACCCAGGGTGGACAGCACGATACGCAGCTCAGCGCCCATGACGGTGCCGTTGCCCTCCTTGTCGAAGACGCGGAGACCCTCAACGTAGTCGTCCACGGTTCCCTTGGGCAGAGAGTCCACCTTCTTGAGCATGGGCAGGAAGGTCTCGAAGTTCAGCCTCTTGTTGGCCATGTCTGACAAAAAAAAAAAAAAACAACCACGCCAACGTTATCGTCACGGCGATTTCATACAAAGACAGACAGAAATGCACACAGGAGTAACATGGAGTACAAGATAACGTGAGAATAGTTGATTTAAGGGTGTTTTAACTAGTGTTCAGATTTCTGGCTATATATTTTTTATGGTTTTCCTCAAGGTGATGTTATTTTAGCTGACTCAAAGTAAATTAAAATAAAAAATAGAAAGTAAACTTTGATGGCTAAAATTAAGGTTAAGCACAAACACGCTACCTCATAATTGGACTGGACCAGGTCTAAACCAGGACTAAACTAAGACAAAATTAGGTCTAAACCAGGACTAGACTAGGACTAAACCCTGAACTAAACCAGAACTAAACTAGGACTAAACCTTGAACTAAAACAAGACTAAACCAGGACAAAACCAGGACTCATTTAGGACTAAACCCTGAACCAAAACAAGCCTAAACCCTGAACTAAACCAGGACTAAACTAGGACTAAACCCTGAATTAAAACAGAACTAAACCAGAACTAAACCAGAACTAAACCAGGAGTAAACCAGGACTAAACTAGGACTCAACTAGGACTAAACCCTGAACTAAAACAGGACTAAACTAGGACTAAACCCTGGATCAAACCAGGACTAAACAAGGACTAAACTCTAAACTAAAACAGGACTAAACAAGGACTAAACCCTGGACTAAAACAGGACTAAACAAGGACTAAACCCTGAACTAAATCATGACTGTAACAGGACTAAACCAGCACTAAACCAGGACTATAACCGGACCACCCTGACCCTGTGAACGGAGCCTGGAAATACAGATCATTCTGTCTAGTAAGAAAACAAAACCAAAGTGAACATGAGTAGTGTAATGTGTTTGTGTTTGTTGACAAAAATTTTACTAAAACTAGAACTAAAACTTGAAAATAGAATATACAACAAAAAATATAGGTAGGTAGAGCAGGTTATAAGACATTTCTACACTTTTTTTTGGTAAAATGTTGAGTCTGTTCACTTTCTGTGTCAAACTAGAGCTGTTACATAAAAATGATCTGATTGGAATCATAGTCTGGTGGAGTATGTTGAAGGTTGGTGGAGCTTGGTGGAGCTTGGTGGAGCGTGTTGGAGCATGTTGGAGTGTGGTGGAGCGTGTTGGAGCGTGTTGGAGTGTGGTGGAGTGTGGTGGAGCGTACCGTCGGCGGTGGGGTTGCCCAGGATCTCTGTGACGGCTTTGTTGGTGGGGTTCTGTCCCAAGAGCGCGCATGATGTCGGCCACCTGGTTGTAGGCCACCTGGCTATCACCGATTCTGTCAAAGAGACCGAAAGCCTCCTTGAAGTCTGCACACAACACACAAGAAACATTAAAAACACATTAGGTTTACACGTGAGCGACCTTTGTTTGCCCTTATGCCAGCCAAAATACAATCAAGTGAAACCTGAATGTACTACAAAAGACCAGAATCCAATTTTCAAGTACATTTTGAAAACGTAATTAGTAAACTTTAACTGAACTAGATTACTTCTATAGACAAGTAGTAGTTGTAGTAGTAGTAGTAGGAGGAGGAGGAGGAGGGGGCAGAGTATTAATGGTAGTACAAGAAGAACTAGTAGTATTAGCAGCAGCAGCAGCAGTAGTAGTAGTAGTAGTGGTAGTAGTAGTAGGAGGAGGAGGAGGAGGAGAAAGAGCATTAGCGCTAGTAGAAGTGGTAGTACTATAAGCAGCAGCAGCAGAAGTAGAAGTAGAAGTAGTAGTAGTAGTAGTAGTAGTAGTAGTAGTAGTAGTAGTAGTAGTAGTAGTAGTA